TTTTGGAAGTAACCAAAATGTAATTTTCTCAAATTTGGAAATGCCACTGCTTCAGTTGAGAATGATGACTCGGAGTCTGACAATGTATCAAGAGCATCACGACTATTCTCATGTAGTGCTTTTGTAACTCCGAAGAATTCCTTACCCAAACATTCCAGCTTTTCCGCTTCCCCGAGCTTAAGCTCTTCTAGGGATGATAGCTTCCACAAGGCAGGCAAGGATGAGATGTTATGGGGCCTGCTGATAATTAGCCTCGTCAAGTTATTGGCGTGAGATTTCGTCACAAGCCAACTTGGTAACTGGGCTCCTGGATAGTCATCTAGCTCAAGTTCTTCCAAGTTTGGAGGTGGTTCCATGGTTTCAATGCAACTTGGAGTTTCTATAAAGTGGGCCTCGAATCTAGAAAGCAAATACATTTCACGCATGTTGATTTTCTTGCCAAGTTTTGCACTCCCAAAATCTACTTCTCCTTCAATGTCAATGACCAATCTTTCGAGTTGGTTCAGGTCTTTCAGAATTGCCAAATCATCAGAGTTGCTCCTGACGATGAACCTATCCAAAATACAAAGTGACGTGAGCTTCCTGAGTCCTTGTGGAATTTGACGTAAATCATCGGTCATGTCATTGAAAAGGTGCCTCAAGTGTACAAGGCCTTCAATCTTTTCAGGAAGGCTCGAAAGCTTATAACAAAAACTGATATCCAGAGTTTCCAGATAATATAGATCACATATAGCTTCTGGCAGTGTCACGAAAGGATTCCAACTTAAGTCCAAGTGCCGAAGATGAATCAACCTTCCGATCTCGGCTGGGATTTCAGCTAGCCGACAATAACGTAAAGTCAGAGTCCTCGCGCACTTCAAACTGCAAAACAGATTTTGGGGAACTACTACTCTTCCAATTATAGAAAAAGTTAAAAAGCTCCTGAGCCGTCCCAAATCAACCACTCGAGAACTAAACATCTCCTCCTCAGTGCCTTCTTCCAAAATTGTTAGATGACGTGGTCTTTCACTAGATGAATTTCTTCCAGTTCCATCAAGTGCATGACATTCATTTTTTGTGAGAAATTGTGCAAAATCATGCACTATGTCATGCATCTTGCACTTCATATGTTCAGTTAACCCATAGTAAGCCTCAACCTTTTCTATTTCTTGAAAAAAGGAACGCATTGCCAAATTGTTGAAGTACTCAAGGCCCACCAGCTCCAAGCGCTCACCTCTTCGTCTTGGGCGAACATAACCTTGTGCTATCCACAGCCTAATAAGCTTTTCTGCAAATATCACATGATCCTTGGGAAAGACAGCACAATATGAGAAGCAACGTTTCAGCTCCGGGGACAACTCGTTATAGCTTAAATACAAATGAGGGAAAAGTTCCACGGCTGCTTCCTCCAATTGCCATATATCACTGTCCAAAACATTCTGCCATTGTTGTACGGTATCTTTGAACCGTAACAAGCTTCCCATAGTCTTTGCAGCAAGTGGCAACCCTTTGCACTTTTCTGCAATTTTCTGCCCAATTCTTTCCACCTTCTTGCACAAGTCCCCTGATTTGTTGGCAAATGCTATCCTTTGCATTATTAGCCAACAATCAGAGTCGGACATCAGGGCCATCTGGTGAGTATGAGTTGTTCCCACCACTGCGGCCACTCTATGACTCCTTGTTGTCACCAAGATTACACTTCCAGGAGCCCCATCCTTGAGAGAGTTTTGGAAAGGTTCCCACTTTGAGTCATCCTCTGTCCAGACATCATCTAGGACAAGCAGGAATCTCTTACCAGAAAAAGTTTCTTTTATACGTTGGATCAATGGATCCAACTCTGATTCTTCAGAACTTTTTCCAGCATTCTCAAGGATAGCTTTCGCAATCCTTTTTTGGTCAAAAGGATTTGATACGCAAATCCAATTTCTAACTTCAAAATGGTTCCTCACTTTATCGTTATTGAAGAGTAGTTGCGCAAGTGTGGTCTTTCCACTACCCCCGGCCCCTACTACAGAGATAACTTGAACCCTCTTTCTTCCTTGACTAGTGGTCTTAGACAAAACTTGGTCAAGTAAAGCAACCTTATCAGATTCTCGACCACAGATCTTTGATTCGTCTATCATTGAGGTAGTTATAATTCGCTGAAAATCTTGAGAATCAGGAATTCCCCCACTTGTAATAAACTTGAATTGATCTGCCTCTTTCAACGTCAATTCTAGCTTTTCATTTATGCTTTTTATTTTCAAAGCAATATCACTACGAACAGGAACTTGTTTGAGACAAGAACAAAGGGAGGGGATGAGGGAACGAACCTTGATCCACAATGTTGGCTGCAATCTGGCATTCTGGCGAGTTCGTTCATTCTTTGCTCTGTGAATCTTGAAGTTCCAATCGTCCAGCACATCATCCATCTCATATGTTATGTCCTCAAGCTTTTCTAGCCAAATTCCAACACATCTGTCCTTCAGCCTTCGTCTCTCTGCATCATGCAGCACTTTTTCAATGGTTGCCAACTTGGAGGAGATATTTGCCACCTCCTCTTCAACCCCCATCACCAGGTTGACCTTCTCCCCAAACTGCTTCACGAGAACATCACTCAGTTGATCAATTATCTTTGGAACAAACAATTCAGCCATTGCGAGGATAGAATACTACTAATATGATTTGGAAAGGATATTTGGTTGCAAATAGAAGGTTGATACAAAGGCGGACAACCAGATTGGTTACTTAGGACCACTCCTACTACGTCGTTTATATACAACTTGTTTTCTTGACGACTTACTTGGTGAACCAGAGTCAAAGACACCCATTTGCTTAGATGGAGGGTATAAACTTGTCCGTTGCGAAAACGCGTTACCTATTATATCACCAAAGAAAGTTTAATGCTTGTCCGTTGGATTAATTTTACATTTTTCAAAATCAAAGACGTGGGAACTGATTAACCTTCGAGGCACGGGTAAGAAAGTCTTATTAAATATTTAATAATTGCTTTACCTTTTTATTATTATTTTTTCATAAAATATCAAGTGTAGGATTTATTTTCTCCCATCTACCGGTGACTCTTTGATCCCCGCTGTAGATGACTAGTAATTTATATTGATGCCGTAAAACTTTACAACGTGTGGACAAAGGTTAAAAAGATTATAAAAGCAGTATGTACTTAAGCATCAAGGAATAGAATGAATCTATTCCTCATCATGATATGCGTTTAAAGTATTAAGAAATTTGTCTTGGTCATGGTATTAGTAAACATGCTTCACAATAAAATTTTGAACACGTTAATCTACTATCTATTTATCTCACGAATTTATTTATTATTAAAGGTGCTAAAATATCAGAAAAGCCTTGAAAACAATTATTTAAATCGACTTATCATTTTTTTTCTACAAAAATATACATCATTTAGGCGATGTGTGATAATTTTAAGCTTTCACGTTCAGCTCACCCCCTTTCTTGATAGGATTATCTTGTGGGAAGCAGATTGAAAAAAACCATAAAGTATTATCATTTATCATTTGTCAAGAATTACAAATGGGACACTAATTGTTGAGCTGTCTTTAGGAGTTGGAAACATCATTAAGAAATGTTTCAGCATCTCTCCGTTGTGTTCTTTTGTAACTTTGTATATGGGCCTTATCTTCTTCTGAAATTCTTGGCTCCACAAAACTTATAAATGAAGTGCACTTTCTGCGCCTTTAACTTGACAATGCATTTCAGTCCTTTTTAAAAAAAAAAAAAAAATTGTTGCGTTTTTTCCAGCAAAAAAAAAAGGAAAAAGGTTGGGAATTATGTTTGCCTATATCGTTATGAGTTCTTTAGCTCGAACACAAAAAGATAGAGTGGGTGGTCAGAATTGAATGAAAATCACTGCTGGATACTAAACAAAAACATCAGAAAACAGTTTGGATTTTTTCATATGATTACCAACAACCGCGTCAAACTGCTTTGCTTTTATTCTAATAATATAAAGTAAAACACATTCCGCTAATTCGTATAGGGTTAATTCCTAAACACTTTAAAATGAGACATTTTAGTCCTTAAAATAAAAATTTTGTCTCACTTTGGTAAAATTAATGACAAAAGTGAGACAGATTTTATATTTAAGTGAGACAAATATCGTTCTTTAGGAATTAAAGTGAAATAGATTTTATAATTTAGAAATTAAAATAGGACAGATTTTGCAATCCAAACGTGTAAATTTTAAAAAATATGATGCGCTTACTCTTTGGATTTTGTAATTAATTATTTTTTAAATAGGGATTTAATGTTTACTTATTTATTTGTCTCGTATCTTAAAGTAACATTTTCATTTTATGTTCTGCATTCCGCTTTTCTTTCAGTTTTTGGACATCCTTTGCTTTTTTTTTTTTTTTTTTTCAACACAGGGGTGTTTGGGTTAATCTTTACGGGGCTCGACTAATCCCCTGCAACTTGGGCCCGATGCCCCAACCCGACCCAAGTACGATAAGTGCGTGGAGGAATCCAGTAGAGCAGAGACTCAATCTTGGGACCAAGTGATCACCAGTGGGAGATGCTACCGCGGGGGCTTTTGGGCATCCTTTGCTGCTAACATCTTTTCTCATGTGAGGGTGGGGACAAAGTATGAAAATAAGAAATTTCCAAGCGAATACGTATCGAAAAGACAATAGGAAAAACAGTCCAATATACTGTTGCCTTTTATCCCATTCATCCATGATCCATCAATGTCCACTTGATTCCAAAACCTTTGCACATTTCCACTTCAACAGTCAATTACTTTCCAACAGTTAATTGTGAGTGCGTCGGGAATCAGATGTCTGCCGTCCTTTTCAAGTTTCCAATCTCTCTCCCACTTTCCTCCCAACTAGGAGGCATAAACCGCGCTGTGCGGGGTGGAAAAAAGAGATGAACATGCCCAATTTAATAAAATGATTTATACTTAATCAAAAATGGATATGCTCTCAAAATAGTGAAAATATTTATATTAATATAATTTTTGAGCTTTTAATGCAGAAAATAGACCATATTTCAAATCTTCCTGATTCATATAAGAACTCAAATACTGATTCATATAACTCAAATATAGCGAAAGTACGAAAATCACAAAGGGATGGATACAAATATTAGCTAACAATATAAAAATCAATAATCATCCTGCGGTGGGACACTTTCTTAGCTTTCATAAACTAACTAAAGATAAATTCTGAAGCTACAACTAACTAAAGATAAATTCTGAAGCTATAACAAAGCTAATATTTGTCCTTTTTATAATATCTATCCTTATACCACGTAATATTTGTCCTTTTTATAAAGTACAAATGTATACAAGCTAAGTTTCAGTTTTGGCGATCCCATTGTAATAAAGAACCAGTAAACCAGAAGCCACCGTTAGACACACATAATAGTGCTCTACAATGGTAGTGAAAAAGGAGAAAAATAGAAAAAAGTTCTGGGTACAAAAATCTGCCAAAAGCAGTCTCATTATCTACTCTTGTTCCTTGCTAACTTTAGCTGTGCTTTGCTCCGGGAAAGGTTGCATTCTCACATATGGGTTTCTAATCAACGTTTCCCCTCTCAGAGCAGCAACTAGAGCTGTTAAGCGAAACGAGTAGCTCGAAAGCTCGATAAGGCTCGAGCTCGGCTCGTTAATTTCAATTAACGAGCCGAGCTCGAGCTCGACAAATACTCGTTTAGTTATCGAGCCGAGTAAGCTCGAACTCGATTCTTTATCGAGTAGCTCGGTTGAGCTCGACAAAGAAGGGTATTTGTGTCATTTTAGCAGTCAACAGGTAGACATTTGGACTAGGGTTGATATTGCATCGTCTCATACTCTCATTCTTCATTTCTGCCTCTCCCTCTCCGCTGCACCCCACAAGGCCGCAACCAGTAACCCACAGGCCACAGCCGCACCCACAGCCCCGCAACGCCGCAGCTCCGCAACACCGCACCCAGTAACCCACAGCTCCGCAACACCCAGCACCCAGCACCCAGCAACCCCGCAGCCCCGCAACACCGCAACCCGCAACCAGTAACCCACAGCCGCACCCACAGCCCCGCAACGCCGCAGCTCCGCAACCCCGCAGCCCCGCAACCCCCGCAGCCCCGCAACACCGCAACCCCACAGCCCGCAACCCCGCAACACCGTAACCCCGCACTCCACAGCAAGCCGCACTCCACAGCCGCAACCCACAGCAACCTCTGCCTCCACTGCCGCCCACAGCCTCTGTTTTCTGCCATTAACAACCCCGTCCACGGCCAGGGCCAAAAACCAGTCCAATTTGACTGGTTTCTCTAATCCTTCGTGATTTCTGGTAAGTCTCGTCTCTTTTCGTAGGTTAATTATACTGAATGACAAGAGTTCATTCTTGTCTCTTTTCTGGTTTTAGGTTTCATTGTTGCTTACGCTTCAAAAACTTAACATCGAGGGATTATTACGAATTAATAATGTTTGGAGAAGATAGAAATCATCCACTTAGCCTTAGCTTCACCTTCGGACTGAAAGGTCAAAGGTACACCTACCAGCCTCATTGTGCCATAATATTCCTCATTAAGATTTAAGACAAGTGTGCACTACCCTGCAAAGGTTTGCTAGTAGAAAGGCAAATTAAATGGAAAGGAGACAAAATTGCGTACAGCATTCCCTTCAAGAGTTGGACATGGTGTAATGTAAACAAAATCAGCTACGTAGTACATTGTAAAAAAGCATCATACCACCATATAATATGACATGATATCCATCCTCAAAATCATGCACAAAAAACAACTGGTTTTGAAGATAATGACAAATGCCCCTTTATCACATGTCAATGTTCGTGAGCTAATTGTTGCACTATCACAGGGATTGATTGGCCTTTCATTTCATTTCATTTCAATTTCAAAGTGTTTGATTAGTTTGATATTTTCGTCTTGGGGCCATTTATGTGTGTGTGAATTGAGTTAAATGAATTATTGAATGAATAATATAGGCACTGGCTGCATAGAGGGATGTTTGATTTTCTTTTTTTTTTCTTTTTTGTTTTGCTGTTTTCCTTTTCTTTTGCTTCCCATCGAGGGATCCACAAGGCAGAAGCTAAACCTTGCCATGGGTGCACGACCACGTGAGAATGAGGATGGGATGATTTGGCAATTTTTTGTTCATGGCATTGCGCCTGCAGCACAGGCTGGCACCATTTACTTCTCTAGATAATTTCTCTATAGATGAAAATACTTCTCTGTCTACCTTTCTTCTTTTCCTCTTTTTTCAGGAGAAATGGAGAGTTAACTAATCTTATATGTAGAGATTTATTCTGAATTCAGGTCTAATTGGCCACTAATATTGGATTCTAAAATTGTTTGTTATTTGTTGCATAAATGGTACTTCAGGTTTTATTGCTAATTTGGATTCATGCATTTGTAGAAATGGCGAAAAGCAAGCTGAAAATAGTTATTAAATATCATATGGACTTGACTGCATATATTCCTACATATGTTCCTTATGGACTTGACTCAAGTATATTTTTCCTTTTAAATAATAGGTATGTACAGTCACCAAGGATCGTCAACAAGTCCTATTATGGAGGTTGAAAATGAAGCTGTCGAACAAGAACTTGAGGTGGAGTCTAATGCTGATGAGATGAGCGAAGAAGAGCTGGACTTAGATCACTTAGATCAGCCGAATGAAGGAACAGAAACAGGGGAAAAAGGTGCTGTTGAAGGAGCAAATCCGTTTGAAAAAAAACAACGGAAAAAGAAGTCAACAATATGGGAGGATATGACTATAGTAAAACAGCCTGATGGAACATTGAAAGTGCAGTGTAATCACTGCAAAGAACTATTTGTCAAAAATCCATCTGGAGCTACTTCTCAACACAAGCATCATCTCAAAAATTGCCTACAAAAGAGGCTGGCTGTTGGAGAGGAAAATCAAAAGAGGCAGCAAGTGTTATCCTTTACCGAAGGCCCCTCGGATGGTATAACTTCTATAACTAATTTCTCTTATGATCATGCTAAAGTACGAGAGTTAGCAGCTCATATGGTTCTTGTACATGAGTATCCCTTCTCTATGTTGGATCATGTTGTTTTTAACAAGTTCATGAAAGCTGCATCTCCATTTTATAAAAAGATTAACCGGCAAACAGTAAAGGAAGATTGTGTGACTGCTTTCATGCTTGAAAAGAGAAGGCTGAGAAATATCTTAAAAGGTGCCAATAGGATTAGTATAACCACAGATTTGTGGAAATCTGGTCAAAAAATTCAATACATGGTTGTGACTGGGCATTTTGTTGATAGTGATTGGGTGTTGCAAAAACGGGTTCTAAATTTTTGTAATGTCCCACCTCCTCACACGGGTGTAATTATTGCTGATGCGTTAAGTAAGTGTTTTCTTGAGTGGGGGATTGAAAATAAGGTTTCTACTATCACTGTGGACAATGCTTCTTATAATGATGTATGCATTAGGAGAGTTAAAGAGGATTTCTCTCTAAGAAAAAGGTTGAGCATTGGAGGAAAAATTTTTCATGTTAGGTGTTGTGCCCATATACTTAATTTGCTTGTTCAAGATGGGCTTAATCAAATTGTTGATGCGATTGATGTTGTTCGAGAGGGGATTAAATATTTGAAAAATTCAGAGTCTCGCCTCAATGAATTTGCCAAAATAAAAAAACAGCTTCAATTGCCTTCTAGAAAGCTCATTTTGGACTGCCCAACTAGGTGGAACAGCACTTATTTGATGTTGGCTTCAGCTCTAGAGTTTAGGGATGTATTTCCCAGGTATGGGGACATTGATCCTTGGTTTCACTATGTCCCAAGTGAGTTTGAATGGATGAAAGTTGAAGAAGTATGTAAATTTTTGGGTATTTTTTATGAGATCACCAATATTATTTCTGGATCCGATTACCCAATAGCTAACCTTTTTCTTGTAGAGTTGTATAGGATTAAAGAGCTATTAAATGAAAAAGCTCTCGATTTTTCTGATCATATTAGGTTTATGGCTGAAAGTATGGCACTAAAATTTGACAAATATTGGGGTGAAAGCAATGTTTTGATGTCTTTGGGTGCTATTCTTGATCCGAGGTACAAAATGGTCCTTGTTAATCATACTTTCCCAGTTATTTATGGAGAAGTTGCAGCCCCTAGGTACATTGATGAGATGAGATGCATTCTTTATGACCTTTATAATGAATATGTGGATGCTTACATCTCATCTCATAGTGAGGAACCACCAAGGGAAGCTGGAAAAAGAAAACATTCGGAAATTTCAAGTAAATCTACTCAAGGGGCTGCTAAAAAGCTTGGAGTTAATGTTCTAACTGGGAAAGAAAAATTTCAGATGGTTGTTAGTGAAATTGACAAGGCTCCCCCTGAAAAATCAGATTTAGATGTCTATTTGGAAGAGGGCAGATATGTTTGTGATGCAAATGCAAATCTTGATGTCTTGGGTTGGTGGAAAGGGGAAAGGTGGAGGTTTCCTATATTGTCAAGATTGGCAAGTGATATACTCGCTATTCCAGTTACAACCGTGGCGTCCGAATCTACTTTCAGTGCTGGTGGTAGAATAATCGATGATAGGCGTGCTTCTATGTCCGTTGAAACGGTTCAAATGCTACTTTGTGGGAATGATTGGATCCGCAATCTTCATGGGTTAAAAAACAAGTCTCGTGTAAGTAAAATATACTCTACTAGTTATTTATTTTGGCAGCTCATTTTATCTTGCTAGGAGTTGTAACTTTCTTGTTTTCGTTTTGTAGGAACCACTCGATGTTTCCGAATCATCTACAATTGAAGAAATTGATCTTCCGGACATTTGAAGGCTGTTTTCTGGAATATGTGATGCTGTTTCTTGTGATTTGTAAAGCTGGACTTGTGAAGCTGTACTTTTTCTTGTGATTTCTGAAGGGGTTGTACTTTTTCTTGTCAGGTGTTTGAAGTTGGACAATTTTTAAGCTATGTAGCAGTGTTTTACATGGTTATTTGGTTGTAGTTTGTGCGTTTATTTGGCTGGACAAAACCTGTTATGGTATATTGGCTCTTATGAATGTTGTCTCATATGGAATTAGACTGTAGTTTGTGTATTTGTTGACTGCAGCCCCTGGAGTTTGTGTTGTATGGATCATGGATGTTATGGTCTTATTTGTCTTGGATGAAATGTGGTTAGAGTTTGTGTATTGTTGAATGTGAATGGCATTGGTTGCCAATCCTAATATTTTTTGTTGATTTTGGATAGCCTAAATCTGGGTATGCTGGAGCAGGACTTCATAATAACTGATTGTTGAATTTTGAAATCGAGCCTCAAAATCGAGTCTCGAGCTTCGAACTCGAGTCTAAAATCGAGCCTCGAGCCTCGAACTCGAGCCTCGAGCTCGGATAGAAATTTCGAGCTCGAGCTCGAGCTCGTCCGAGCCTGGCTCGTTTGTGATAAACGAGTCGAGCTCGAGCTCGAGTTCGAGTCACATTTCCTTTTTTCGAGTCGAGTTCGAGTGGATATTATGGCTCGTTAGCGCTAACGAGCGAGCTCGAGCTTGGCTCGAATTCGTCACGAGTCGAGCTCGGCATTCAGATACTCGGCTCGACTCGGCTCGATTAACAGCACTAGCAACAACATAGCTGTCATTTGTGTCCTCTTTCCTCTGCAACTCCTCAAGGAATTCTCCCAGCCTCTCTTTATTCACTTCCCACATTATCTAATTTGACAAGTACAAGCAAACAGAAGTTTGATCAGTAATCCTCACCTTAAGAATAAGTGATTTGAAAACAGTCATGCAAACAGATGCATAATCCAACAAGAAATCCAAGGAAAATACCCAGTAGCAATTCAGCAAGTTTAAATACCTTAAGAACCATAAAATCCTAATAACACAGCATTTTCCTTTCTTCGGTAATTGAAATCAGCCAACAAAAAGTATCAGCAAACACTCTCATAGTTTTATGCTTAGAATAACTAACATTGTTAGGATGATCTTCACTTCACACACAGCTGAAATGTTGGTACATCTGTTTAAAGATGTACTTCACTTCATAATTTTATGCTTAGAATGTGTGTGTGTGTGTATATATATATATATATGGTTTCTGGTTTTTTCTTTTCTTTTTTTCAATTGAGCCCTTAACTTGGGAAGACTGTGGAAAGAAAAAAAGGAAAACGCTGATATATCAGGATCGGTTCAGTATATTAGCAAGTAAAGCAATAAGTTCCACGTACATAAATGGACATCCAAGATTTTCTGACTTCTAATTTATTCGTCTAATAATCATGACCCAGAATTGGTTTCTCTAATGAGAATTCTTAGAAACCAAAAAAAAAAAAAAAAGATCTTGTGATTAAAAGACTGCAATTAGAGCTAAGACATGACAACAAACTATCTGGATTTCCCGAGAGAATTAAAATCAATGTTTGTAATTAAATTTGATTAGCATTTTCAATTTCATTCATTTCAAATGCATCCTAGAATTGGTTATACCTTCTTGATTGATTGGACAAGTCCATCAATATATATCTAGGAGCAGTACAGTTGATTCCAACAGCAACAACTCAGTCGCATAAATTAGCAATTGCAGCACAATCTGATATAGGATCCCCTTCCTCAAGAATCTCAGCATAGTCCTATATCAAGAAGCAATCAGGCAAAATAGACAGCAAATCATCTAAATTGCTCTAGCGAAAGAAATGTTTAAGGTACACTGAGATAGTCACAACTCAAAAACAATACCATAGCTTCCAATTTGTTTGGAATTGTCTCAAATGCAATCAGGTCAGCACTAGAGTCAGCAAGAACTTGAACTCATTCTTTTATGGAAATGCTTCAAAGTCTCTAGAGTCACTGCATCCCCATATATGCCACTACAATGCATGAGAAGGTCACAAGTCCTTGAGAGGAAAAGTTTCTAGCACAAGTTCAAATATTTCAATTCAGTATTTGGGCACTGAAATACTACTCTGCTTCCAATGTAAGAAGAGAATTAAAAGATTCACCTATATTTAGAACCATCAGCAAGATACGCGTTGGCTTCCAACAGAAACAGCAACAAGGAGTCGACGTTTAAAGCTTTTGGATCTCCAATAACATCCCAAGAACCTTTGCTAGCTCTATCATAATATATATCCCGTATCTCGCGAGCTATTTCAACACTTTTCCTGAGTAAAGCTTCACCATCTTCTCTTGATATCCCCTTAGTTGCAAATTCCTGAAGAGTAGCCTGTCTCCCAAAAAAGGCAAATCAAAAGTCCTCAACTTCATGATAAATTCTTCCAATAATAATTAAACAATATCCATGGGAAGGCCCGAAAAATGAAAAAATTAAAAAGACAGCCATATAACCTGATATGATGCAGATATTATGATATTACCACCAATTTTTAGGTAATCAAGGTGTACCTGTCACATGAAATAAACAATAAAGAATAAAACAAGAAAACCACATGGCCAAGGTCCTAATATTTAATTGTAGTTGAAAGAATAAGGCCGAATTCATACAATTTTTTAAGCTAGCTACTTTGGAACTCCTTAAAATTATCTGAATAGTTTCTTTGTCATCACTGGTAGCAATTCAAGGTTAGTAATAGACCACAGAGCCCAAAAAAAGAATTAAAACCACATAAGAAGCAAATTAAAAACTAACCTGTCTCTTAATCGTAGCCTTCAGTGCTATCATAACCTGAAATAATCCATTGTAGATAGACCTTTTGGTAAGGGAAAAATTGAAATAGAAGAAAGAATTAAAGAAATAGTGAGGGTTAGTAATAGACAACTGAGGCAAAAAAAAAAACATAAGAAGCAAATTAATAACTAACCTGTTTCTTAATTGTAGCCTTCAGTGCTATCACAACCTGAATTAATCCATTGTAGATTTTAACCTATATAGAAAACATTACAAAAAAAAGATTGATATTTTGCCCCTTATGAAATCACCGCACAATTCTTCGTTGTGATATCTTAAGGTGAAGTAAATTTCTAATCTTCACAAGTAATATGGATTGGATTTTAACAATTTTATGTATTAATCAACACTTTTACCAAAATATGGTTTAACGTTAATCTATCAAACTTATTGACATGGATTACACTTATGGACCACAAAATACAAGCCAGCTAGCCAATAACATTACCTTCTTCACTGTTCACAAACTTAGCAAGGCTTCTGCAGATCGTGCACCTTCATACCTGAGAATAAAAATAAATTCATGAGGAATACAATTGTATGAACTCAAGCCATGTAAGTTGCATTTACATAGAGTCAACATCAGGACAAATATAATTTCAACGGAGCAAGGTAAAAAAACAAGCCTTTTTGAAAACTCCAATATGTCACATATACTCACTTTTTGGGTACCAAAGAACCTTTTGCAAACCATTGGACGGTGGGGGTAAACAGAAACACCATATTCGCTGCAAAGGCTCTTATGCTCATTGCAGTCCACCAACAACAAATATAATTTGATAAAAGTTCAAAACTTAAATTTATTTTTGCTATAATTCACAGCTAAACCATTGATTAATCTTTTAAATATTGAAATTAAATCAGATGCAAAATAGAAGATTCACAACAGCGAAGAAAGTTAGACTGATATTGATGCCAACAAGCAACCAGAGAGCAATGGACCTCAAGTTCCACTTTCTTAAGATTTTAGTGATGGAAATCAAATAAAACGTATCCAGTTTGCAAGGATGAAAAGAAAAATGTAAGCACTTTTTCAAAAATATGAACACGGACTCAGAGGTGCCATTAAATGTAGTTCAATGAACCGGAGAGAGAGATAGAAATAGAAGCAAGAACCAGAACAAAAGAGGAGAAGCACTTACAACTTGTCCAAGAGAACGCATCCTAAGGCCTCTTGTATGCATAAAATCAGTCAAAGTTCAACCATCCACTGGTGAGAGTTCCAAAGAACCAAAATCAGCAACCTGTATTGCATAATGAAATGCCAGGGAAACTTAATTTGGTTGTTATGTTAACAAAAAAAATTAAAACAGAACCAGAGAGAGGGAGAAGAAGATATTCTATTATTACCAGTTTAGGAAGAGCAACTTCATTGTAATACTTCTGTGATAAGCCAATTAGCTCTTGCATTGACTACCAATCGCAAGTAGCAGGTTAGTGCAAATCATGCAGTTTAGGGAATCTTTATATCAACTGCCAAAAATAAAATCTTGTACCTTGCGATGAAGCCCAGTCTCTGACTCTTTTAATCGAGTAAAAGCAGAATCAGACAAGAATGTCTTCAGTGGCATCAGTCTCAACATGAGATTCTGTAGATAGTGACATTGATTTTTCAGCTTCCACACTCATGTCATCTGCAACAGGCTTCAAGTTTCCAGATTGACTTTTCATACTACCGGTGATCTCCAAGGGTTGACCTTGAATTCCAGAAATTGACATGGACGCTATTATAGCAGTGGCATGTCCTTGGGCGGTAACAAGCCCGTGGATGAGAAAAAAAGCAGAAAACTGCACATCAGCAGACAAGGGACAAAAGAAATACAAACTTTAGCCAAAAAAAAGGGGGCAGAGCAGAGGCAACCTGAAGAGAAGATCCGACCTCACCGGAGAGGAAGAAGAAAGCTTAATACAACAAAGGAGGAGGAGACCGAAGTTTTTTCCAAACGAACGGCACAAGATCTGCAACCCAACAGTGAAGATGGGACCTCCTTGGGCGGTAAGAAGGCTGTGGCTAAGCAAAAAAAGCAGAAAGCTGCACGTCAGTGGAGAAGGGACAAAAAAACACAAATTTTACAACAAAAAAAAAAGAACAGAGGCAACCTGAAGAGAAGACCCGACCTCACTGGAGAGGAAGAAGAAAGCACAAGATCTGCAACCAAC